TCTGATCAGGAAAATATTTTGCATGTGGTCGTAAGTCAAAATGTGTGAGAACCACTGAGCTTGTCCTTTTTTTTTTTTGAATAAAAAAACAACAAACACAACTTTTGCCAGGATACACATTATCAATCCTTTCAACCAGTCACGTCACGAACAGATCACTCTTTTTTTTTTTTTTCATTTTCAGCCCACTTTTGTCTCCATTGTCAACGACGTCGGTGACTTCTATGTCATCTTTATTGGTGACGTCACTTTGGAAAGTGATGAATGTAAAGAGAGCAGAGTTTATTCTTTTTAGTAAACTAAAGAAGTCACACCCCGTTGAAAACGTGACTGCATTTCGAGGCAACGCTCAAGTTCAAGACATAAAACCAACATCATCTACCCACATGATTTTTCATGTATCTATGTCACTAACGTTACAAGATGGTGCTGAGTCACTTAATAAAATGCCCGATAACTGCGCAAAATGGAAATTCTTATAAACACCATAAGTGTGTTAGCGCTCAATGCTGCTGGGTGCTGTCCATGGCTAGACAGGGGCTGATAGTACCTGGGTGGGTGCTGTCCATGGCTAGACAGGGGTTGATAGTACCTGGGTGGGTGCTGTCCATGGCTAGACAGTGGTTGATAGTACCTGAGTGGGGGCTGTCCATGGCTAGACAGGGGCTGATAGTACCTGGGTGGGTGCTGTCCATGGCTAGACAGTGGTTGATAGTAAGTCTCATGTTTTTGTCAGGGAATCTGATCAGGAAAATATTTTGCATGTGGTCGTAAGTCAAAATGTGTGAGAACCACTGAGCTTGTCCTTTTTTTTTTTTTTTGAATAAAAAAACAACAAACACAACTTTTGCCAGGATACACACTATCAATCCTTTCAACCAGTCGACCATGGCTAAGGTTACGATTCGGTCCAGCAAAAGGAACAGGATCTAACAGTGATGAGGAACAGGATGAACCTTGATATTTACGTCTTGTGCTACATGTCGCGACTGTATTTCGCAGCTGCCTGACGATAAACGATGTGTTGAAAATAACTGTGTGGCCACCACCACATGTTTCCACATGTATTGCCACTATGTCTTCCACCTGTGTTGCCACCATGTGTTCCACCTGTACTGGCACTATGTGTTCCATCTGCACTGCCACCAAATTTTCCACCTGTACTGCCACCACATGTTTTCACCTGTTCTGCCCCCACCGTATGTTCCAGCGCCCTTACCACTATTTAATAACCCCCAGACCTTGCTCTGACTAGTCACATATAATATTCCACTTCATAAAATTTTTGAGTACATTTTATCAATCTAAATAAATATAAATTTAACTAGACCTTTTTATTTTAGATCTCATCCTTTTCAGCACCTAAATTTTTCGTCACTTTGTTCACAGATGCTGTCAAAGTCAATTTTTTTTCTGTCACAAAACATAGTGACGTCACGAACAGATCACTCTTTTTTTTTTTTTTTTCATTTTCAGCCCACTTTTGTCTCCATTGTCAACGACGTCGGTGACTTCTATTTCATCTTTATTGGTGACGTCACTTTGGAAAGTGATGAATGTAAAGAGAGCAGAGTTTATTCTTTTTAGTAAACTAAAGAAGTCACACCCCGTTGAAAACGTGACTGCATTTCGAGGCAACGCTCAAGTTCAAGACATAAAACCAACATCATCTACCCACATGATTTTTCATGTATCTATGTCACTAACGTTACAAGATGGTGCTGAGTCACTTAATAAAATGCCCGATAACTGCGCAAAATGGAAATTCTTATAAACACCATAAGTGTGTTAGCGCTCAATGCTGCTGGGTGCTGTCCATGGCTAGACAGGGGCTGATAGTACCTGGGTGGGTGCTGTCCATGGCTAGACAGGGGTTGATAGTAC